AAAAGGGATTTTTATGTTTTGCTATGCTGGTTTCAAAAAGAAAATTTGGAAATGGAAGGTAGATATGATAAACTCACCAGGGATGCATCATAGAGAAACAAAGAGATTTAAAAACATACAAGAGCAGTTAAGAGACATGGAGGATGGGCTCAATGTTTCCAATATTCATCCAATAGCAATTCCAGAAGAGGATGGAGGTAATGGTAGAGGAGCAATATTTGAAGAGATAACTGCTGAGAATTTTCCAGATCTGAAGACAGACTTGGATCCAAGTACCTAACAGGATAAATAAAAATAAATCCAAACCCATGCACATCACAGAAAAACTACAGAGTATCAATGACAAAGATAATGTTAAATAAAGATACAGATTATCTATAAAGAAATCACATTTTGATTGACGACAGAGGTCAACAATGGCCAGAGGAATGTGAGAAAAATAACTGCTAATCTAGGATTTCATACACTCTCTTAGAGAGAAGGCAAAGCAAAGACAAACCCAGAAAGAATATGCTTACTTTTCCATATGCTGAACAACTACAAAGGGATGCCCTTCAGCAAAAGAAAAAAAAATCTGAGTGGGGAAATAAAATGTGCCAACCAAAAGATACTAAACACAGAAATGAATATAATAAGTCAGTAAATTTAATTTAGCATTTATTGTGAAAACAATTACTAATTGTTGCATGTTAAAGAAAAAAGGGAAATTAGAAACTAAATGAAATGGCTGCTGGTGGAGGAAGTGGTAGGAAACTTGAGTTCCTCATCAGAATTGGAAAATTGAATGCAGTACACATACATACACTGACAGAAAAAAATATATATACTTAAACAATATATTAAAAATTTAAAGGGGGCAAGTGTTGTGGAATAGTAGGTTACTTAAGGCACTCCTTGGGATGCCTACGTCCATAGCTGGAATGCTGGTTTGGGTCCCAGTCACGCCACTTTTAATCTAGCTCCATGCTGATGTGCTTATGAAGCAGTGAAATAACAGCCCACATATTTGACTGCCTGTCACCCAAGTGGAAGACTGGATGGAGCCCCAGGCTCCTGACTTCTTCCACCTGGCACAGCCCTGGCTAACAGCCATTTGGGGAATGAACTAGGAGATGCAGGATCTCTCTCTCTCACTCTCTCACCCTTGCTCTCGATTTCTCTGGTACTCTGTCTTTCAAATTATTAGATATTTTTTAAATTTGAAGGTACTCACAAAAAACACCAAAACAACAAAAAAATAAATCTAAATGCATTACGTTCTTCCAAATCAGCCCAGGTAGAAAAAAAAGAACACTAAATGAATAAAAATCAATGGTAATAATTTCAGTTTTTACAGAGGACAGAAAGAAAAATATTAAAAGCCCCTGACTTGCAAGCCTAACAGTAATCTATTAATTGAAGTCATGGTCATTTAAATACATACTTTGTAAGCACTTATAGATAAGGGGAGTTGGAGGCTATGGATTAGTATGACCAAGAATCAGTATGAAATTAATGGGAAAAAAAGGTTTTGTCAATCTAACATTATCCTTCGCCCTCTATTTTGAAGTCGTTCATTTTTAATATTCTTTAGTTGCAAAAGAAATTAAGAAAATGGGCTAGTGGCTCCAGCCTAGTCGCTGGAGTCCTCGTCTTGCATGAGCCAGGATTCCATATGGGCACCAGTTTGTGTCTCAGCTGCTCACCTTCCCCTACAACTTCCTGCTTGTGTCCTAGGAAAACAGAGGATGGCCCAAACCCCTGGGACCTTGCACCCATGTGGGAGACCCCGAGGAGGCTCCAGGATCCTGGCTTTGGAACAGATTAGCTCTGGCCATCGTCGCCACTTGGGGAGTATGCCAGCAGATGGAGGGTCTATATGTCTCTCCTTTTCTCTGTAAACCTGGCTTTCCAATAAAAACAAATCAATCTTTAAAAAAAGAAATTAGAAAAATATAAAAGGAGTGAGGAAAAGATCCTGATATTGTTAACATATTATTCTGTGTGTGTGTGTGTGTGTGTGTGTGTGTGTGTGTATTGCTGTTGTTTTTGTTGTAGCTGCTGCTGCTCAGCCTGCCAAGTTAGCAGATGAAGGAGGGGACATATTCAAGACATGATGACAGCAACACCAGATCTCAAGACTGCAACCCTGAGCATCCAGACTTAAAAGGAGATGGTACAGTGGCATGCCTTTTGCATCCTCATTTTACTATGCATTGCATGTCGAAAGTTACCTTGGCCAAACAACTCAAATTTTGTCTCTTTAATCAAAAAGACACCTCATATGTAAGGAATGGGGAGAGAAAGCTTGAATGCCATATATCTAGATGAGACAAAACCAGAAGAAAAACAAAGTAAAGAATGAAAAAAGATTCAGTCTACACCATCATAGACTACAAATCACCATAATAAACAGGAAGAAATAAATATATGAATGTAAATTAACAAAACATCTTCTACATAAATGCTAGACAGAGCTGATTTGGTTTAATAATAGTATATCTAAAATAAAGTGAGGTATTTTAGCATATTCCCCTGGGACCAATAGTATGACAAAGTTACTAGAATAAATGAATGGACTCTCAGACTGGAGAAGCAAAAGGAATGCTTACAGGAAAACGGGCAGGAATCATACTATTGAGCACAAAAATCATACCATGGAGCACAAGTCAAATGCTGTAGAGGCAGCAGTATGACGTAGTATACAAAGCCACCAAATACAATGCCAGTATCCCATATGGGCATTGGTTTGTGTTCCAGCTGCTCCAAGTCAGATGCAGCTCCCTGCTAATGGCCTGGGAAAGCAACTGAAGACGGCCCAAGTACTTGGGATTTTGTCACACACATGGGAACCTAGATGAACCTCCTGGCTCCTGTCTGGCCCCTGGGACTACTTTGGGGAATGGACCAGTAAATTGAAGGTCTCTCTGTCTCTCCCTCTCTCCATAACTCTGCTTTTCAAATGAATGAATGAATGAATGAATGAATAAATAAATAAATAAATCTTGCTTAAAAGAATTATTGGGTGCTGGCATCATGACACAACAGGTTAAGTCTTTTCCTTGCAGTTTCAGCAATCCATATGAGTGTCAGTTCATGCCCCAGCTGCTCCATTTCCAATCAACCTTTCTGCTAATGGGGCTGCTCCATTTCCAATCAACCTTTCTGCTAATGGCCTGGGGAAAGTGACAGAGGATGGCCCAAGATGTTGGACCTCTTCACCCACATGAGAAACTCAGAAGAAGCTCTGACTCCTGGCTTTGGGATGGCTCAGCTCTGACTGTTAAGCTATTTGTGCAGTGAACCGGAGGATCTCTCTGTCTCTGTCTCTCCTCTCTGTGGAACTGGGTATTTGAAATAAAATTAAATAAATTTTGAAAGTATATAAAAATTAAACAAGCATACTGTATTGCTTTCTAAAAGACACATTAGAATGCATTGATTTCAGGGAGCTCAGAGCTATTAAGCATCTAGGACCATATGAGATCTCAGCACTAGGACACTCTGCTCTGACCAAGGAAGAACCAGAAAAATGAGAGCTGTCTTTTACTATCTGATCACCTGACAGTTCATCCTAGGGTGAATGCAAGAGGTGTTACCGAAAAGCAATTTTTGGAGCCAGCATTGTGGGACAGAGGTAAAGTTGCTACCTGCAGTGCCAGCCACTCCACCTCCAATCCGGCTTCCTGGCAACCGGCTGGAAAAAATAATGAAGGATGGCCCAAGTGCTTGGGGTTCCTGTTACCCACAGTGGAGATCTGGAAAAAGCTCCTGGTTGCTGACTTTGGCATTACTTAGCCCTAGCTTTCAGATAAATACATAAATCTTTACATGAAAAGAAGTTGTTTTCAGAGCTTTCACCAGAAGTTAGAAGGCTACTGGTAAAGGAGACAAGAAAAGTCTTTTAGATCCGGTGGCAGTTAAGATCTAATGATTCCTGTCTCTGACGCTATTTCCACATCTGAGGTATCTATAATTCTAAACCACATTCTCCCAGGTAAGGAAAAAAGAAAGCATCTTGCTGTTACTACTATATATAGGTTACTACTAGTAGTAGTAGTACTAATACTACTAATATTACTACTGCTATTAAAGTGCACACTCTGTGCACCTAGTTCTGAGCTAAGCACTCCTCACAGAGGAAGGGGTCATAGGATTCTAAGTTTTGAAAGTGTTAAGATACTTTAATAAGCAGACTAAGTTTTCCTTGAATACTTCTATCAATGCAGAAGGAGCTGACGGGAGGAAGAGCACAGTGTTTACAGAAGGATTGAAATAATTTCTTCACACTCTAGATATAATAGTTAATAAAGTGTGTAACCAAATTGTTATCAGACACTCAGATCAACAGTGTCCTTGTAGGTTAATAGTAGTCATTTCAACATTTATTGGACAGAAATGCTTATAAGAAACATGAGATTTTTTCCAAAGAAACTACTAATTTTTTTTACTTTATAAGTAGATGTTTTCTAATACAAACTTATATCCTATAGAACTGTGCTGACTACCATGATTTATAAACATGCTTGAAATAAATTTTTCCAATGATATTTGACATAAATCTCCCTTTTCCATAACAAAATGTTACACAAAATTTATTTTTATGAGGAGACAAACGAGAAGAGTTGTTCTGCCTTCTTGTGTTCAGTGGTTTCCTGTGGAACCCTGAAAGTATTTTAGTTATATATTGCAGAATTTTCAAACGGAAACAATTGCAAACAAGTGAAATCTCTTCATTAAAACTTAGGGATAGAACATCTTTCACTGCAGAATGATCAAGTATTCCAACCAATGTGACACAAGTAATTGGTAGAATAATCAAGGAACCAATATAATCCAGGTTTCCAGAGCCTTAACCCTCAACTCAGACCTAGTTCATTTCACTGAATCAAATGCTGAGAAGAAAATGGAATTTTTTGAGTCCTATATGTCAGGATTTACTACAAAAGATGTTAGAAAACACTGTAATTTCCCATTAACTTTGCTTGCTTGGTTGTTCATATTGACTTAAAGGAACTTACTTCTAATGCATAATATACCGGTTTGTCTCTGCCAAGTTTGTAAGCCACGGTGGTCAGAAGGCCATGTTCAGAAAACACACACTATAGAAAGGAAACAGAAGTTTTCAAAACTGGGGAAAAGTTAAAAGCTCAAATGACACAGATATAAAATAGCAATCAAAAAACAGTTTAAAACTTAGCAGTTAAAATTATCAGTATTAAGAACACATTAGAGTTGTAAAACAAAAGTTTATTCCTCGTTCTAAATAAGAATGTGACAAGCTTTCAGTCTTGATTTCTAACCAATACAATTAACACACATATAAATTTCAAAGAATCTGAAGTGGTTCTCATCAGACTCATTCAAATTTCATGATTCTCTTCATTGTTACTGTGCTATAAATTAAGACAATAAAGATTAAGTAAAAGCTGCAAATGCAAAAATAATTTAATTGCAACGTATGCTCAAATAGTATTTACAATAATAAAAAATACTCATCAATCTTTCTATTTGTAAAAAAAAAAAATCCTACCTTATGACCTGTATTACAAAGTAAGAAGCATCCTGTTCCATATCTATAGGGAGAAAGAAAACGAATAAAATGACAAATTCATTGAAAGAAAATGATGAAACAATAACAATACAAATAGTTTACATATAACATATAACAACAGAAGTGATTACGTGAAAGTTTTAGAAAAGCACTTAAACTTAACAGCCACCACTCATACACTTTTTATGGAAGAACATTTTAAAAATTATTCTAGAGGGATTGGTACTGTGTTGTAATAGGTTTTGGTCCCAGCTGCTCTACTTCTGTTCTAGACCCCTGCTGATATGCTTGAGGGCAGTGAAAATGCTTGCACACTGGCACCCATGTGGAAGACCTGGATAACACCCCCGGATCCTTGCAGTGGTCATTGCAGTCATTTTGGAGAGTAAACCAGCAGGTGGAAGATCTGTCTCTCCCCTCTGTAACTCTTTCAAGTAATCAATTTCTTTAAAAAAAAAAACTAGAGAAAATGTACTTGGCACAACATTAATGGAAATGATGCAGGTAGAACATTTCTCATTTAGTCAGCCATAGGGCAGGACTGCATTTCTAGAAATATAGGTTGAATATTTCTTATCTGGAATGGGGTTGAAAGTTTTTCAGATCTGGAAGTATCAGTATTTTGGAATGTCTACCTGAAAATGTTTTGATCACCCTGCAGGAAATCACAAAGCCTTAGATCGTGAAGCATGCTCAGCCATACTCATTTTATTGCTAATGCATGTCAATTGGCACGGAAAGGAGGCTGGGTGCAGAGTCCTGGGAGAATGCAGCTGGAAACTGAGGATCTCTGTGGCCACTGAAGGTCACAGTGAAGAGTTTTTCCACTCTTTCCGCATGATTTGGTTATTATAGCAGTGGTGTAATAATCAGAGCCAGGATGTAACATAGCTGATAAGGAAGAACTGTATTTTGTGGCAGCCTTATCAATATAAGCTTTGGACTCTGTAACAAGTCTGGCACTTGAACGTTAATGGGTACTTTTGCCTTGTGTCAGGCAGGTAAAGAGTCTGAATTGATACCAGTAAGTGTCACAGAGAAAACTGAGTTGGGATAACAAAGCTGTAATGTCTCCCTTATTTAGGCTAAGCTCATTTTCTCTCCCTAGAGGTCTCGTGCATGTTCTGTGTGCCTGCCCTGTACTAACTGTGCTAGTGACATCCCAGCAGATGGCATAAGGGCCAGTGCTCAGTATAGCGGCAGGAAAAAGGATATCAGCAGAATCTACTAGCAATCAGCGTAACTCCACAGATCATACTGGCTACACTTAACTCGCGCAATAAATATAAGCCTAGAACAATTTTTGATAAATATTTTTATTAGGCATCATTATTCTGAATAAGCATTAGTACAAGATACTCTATCTCTGCCAATACTTATTATTCTTGGCCTGCTTGATAAACAGGTGACACACTCCAAAGTGGGAGAGTAATACATACCGAAGTTTGAAAAATGTGTCAAATAACACTAAATACAGGTAATAAATTTACAAACTAAAACACATAACTCCTTATTTTTTTTGCTATCATAACAACGAAAAAGCTATATGTTGTGAGTTAGAATTTTTAATAAATATTCATAAAATATGTTAATTATAGTTTATGCCTTTTACAGGAGAAAGTCAGGCCAGGTTAGGGGTCTACTTGTGTGTGTATGTCTGAGGGTGTATACACATACATTAGGTTTTTAAATTCACTTCAAAGGCAGAGACAGAAATCTCCCATCCACTGTTACATTCCTCAAACGCTCACAACAGCTGAACCTGGGCTATGTGAAAGCCAAGAGCCAGGAAGTTAATTCACATCTTGCACCTAAGCGACAGGGACAAACTGCTTGAGGCAGCCCTGCTGCCTCTCAAGCTGCCCATTAGTAAGCAACTAGAATTGGGAATGGAGCCAGAAAACAACCCCCGGCACTCTGACACAGAATGTGGCTGTCCCAAGCAGCATGGTAATCACTGGGCCAATCATCTGCCCATATACACTATTAAAGTAAAAAGCCAATGAGAAAGCTCAAGGCATGTATTTAATAAAAATTCATGCTTAAGTTAGTGTACTTTATAAGTACTTAATACACATCATCAAAGTATCAAGAAGACTTTTTTTTTTTTGCTATATTTACACCACAGTTTTCAAAGCCGTACATGGGCAATTATTTTCCCCTTAAGTGTTAATATTCTTCATTTCCGCCGACAATCATCTACAGAGCTTTCAGTAGTTATGGGTTCTACCTAGCCTGCCTCTCTATAGTACTGTGTTCAAATATACCAAAAAGATGTCCGACCTGTCTGACCTGTTTGACCTTGGCAAAAGTAGAGGCTGCTTGCTATCCTTCACAACTATCCGATCAGAACTGAGCAGCTTCATAGGTGTACTAAAGATTGCACCCACGGGCATGGCAGGTAGCCCTTGGCAAAGCTGGGAAAGAAGTTAAAAGACTTTATTATACCCCTCTGGTGCCCCTGGGGAGATTAGGAGGCTTTTGAGGCCTCTTTTATATAAAGTGAATTTAATGTTCAAATAACCCATGTTCTTTCTAGAAAAAAAATGGAAAACATACCTACTGTAAAAGAGAACCCCCAAACACTCAGAATCAGAACCAGAGATAGGTTTTCTACTCAATTCTTTTTTTTTTTTAAGATTTATTTATTTTATTTGAAGACAGAGTTATACAGAAAAGGGGTGGTAACAAGGGAGAGGAGAGGGTGGAGAGAGACCTTCCATGGCTGGTTCACTTCCCAAATGGCTGCAACAGTAGGAACAGGACCAGGCCAAGAGGAGCCCAGAAATCTGTCTAGGTCTCACATGTGGTTGTAGTGGCCCAAGTATCTGGGACATTTTCTGCTGCTTTCGCAGATGTATCAAAACTATAACAGCTTGGACTTAAGTTAGTGCTCATGTGGGATGCATGCACTGCAGGTGGTGGCTTAACTGACTGTGCCACAAAGGTTCCCCTCTAGTGAAATTCTGAGGTCTCATTTTTTGTTGTGCTCATTGGGAAAGATTAACTTTTCAATCCCAAATTCTCCAATCTATTAGGACTGTATTCTGTCTGCTGTTTATCTCCTATAATTTTAAAACTTCCATCTGTTCTCCACTCAGTCTACAAACATTCTCTAGTCCTACCATAATTCCCCAAACATAATTCCCTAAACAAAATTCCTCAAACACTGCATGAACCTGTTAACCTCACAAAATATCTACTTCTCTATTCCTGGATGGTTGCATTTTGTAAAGCATGTTCTGTCTTACTCTAGTTTCTGCCCATCTACATCTTTTGTGACTATTTGCAACTGGATGTTGAGCTTCAGAATTCTATTAAATCTTTATTCTTCAAGTCACAAGATAAGGACTTAATTTCTAAATACAATGGTCCACTCTTTTTTAGCCTCCATGATCTCTCTATAGTATTTTGTGATGCTGGCCACACTTTCTGCTTAAATAACTAGTATCCTGCACTTCCACAATAATGGAAATTTCTGATTTCTCTATGCCAGTGACTCCTACTTTTTATAAGTCTCTTTTCTGCCTGAATACTTTCTCTTGGTGATGTCACCCACTTTTATCGCTTTGATAATCAGATCTGGAAGAAATTCATAACCCCTACTTTTACACTAAACTCATTCCATTTCTTCAAATATGCACAGTATATAGATAGCTTTGGCTAAGCCTAATCACAGTGCCTAGGAACATAAGCTCCATATGCACTTCCTCTCCCTTGCCCTGTTTCAACCATCCATCACCACCTACACCTTCTTTGTCCTGCTGAGCCTACGACCTCATTATTGAAGCACCCACCATAGTAGTTCCCTCCATTGTTGTAATAGTTCAGTGAACGCTAAGCACAAGCTCACAAATCTGCTGAAATTTTCTAGGATCTATCAGAAAAAAAACCTCTTTGCCATGAAATACAGGGCTTCACAATATGATCCTAGCTTTATTTTCAAGCATCCTACCATAATGATCCCAACATTCTCCAAAGTTTCCCATTTCCCTATGTATGTATTTGTTTAACGTTTCCCACACTCTAATATTTCCTCATTTTCAGTCTGATTATGAACATAGTATTTTTTCTTTTCTCCCATCTTCCTGATGGTGTCCCTGGGAAGGTAGCTGAACATGGTTTAAGTTCTTGGACTCCTGCCACCCATATGGGAAACCAGGGTGGAGTCCCTGGCTCTTGGCTTCAACCTGTTCCAGACCTTCTGTCATAGCCATTGGGGGGTATAAATCATCTGGTGAGGGATTCCCCCTCTCTCATAAAATAAAAAAGTAGGGTCACTCTTGAGGCATAGTGGGTAAAGCTGCAACAAGTGACAGTGGGCATGAGTTCCAGGCTGGTTTGCTTCAGATCCAACACCCTCTAATGGCCTGAGCAAGCAATAAAAAATGGTCTAAATGTTAGCCCCTGCCTCTCAGGTGGGAGATCCTGATGAAGTTCCTGGATGCTGGCTTTAGCCTGGCCCAGCCCTGGTTGTTGCAGGAGTGAACTAGCAGATGTAAGGTAATCTCTATTTCTATCTTGTTCTCCTCTTCCCCGCCCCTCTCTTTTTCCCTCTTTCCATGCAAGCTCTAAGAAAAAAAAATGTGGCGTTCACTTGAGATCTAGCTTTGTCATTCAGCCAATGCAAGGCCTTAAACAAGCATATAAGCATAATCTGAACAGCTATTTTCTCACACACAAGTGCGAATATTCATCTTACTACATTTTGATGTGGGATTTTCCCAAACTTCACATGTGTCAGCAATAAGACTGTGAGATTAGGAGATAAATTCTATCCCTGTAGCCTTATCAAATGAGAACATTCAGATAATTGGGAGAAAAAACAGTACCAGGAAAATAATCTTAAATATTTCCTCAAATAGGGGTAGACACTGAGGCTCAGAAGGTTAGGCCACCACGTGGGACATCTGCATTGCATATCACAGTGCCTGGGATTGAGTTCAGTCTCAGTGTCTGATCCATTTTCCTTCACCTTGGGAAGCCCTAAGTAGATGATGGCTCAAGTGCCTCGATCCCTCCCTGTCTTTCATGAGGGAGGCCGGGATGGGGTTCCTGGTTCTTGGCTTCCATGGGCACTTGTGGAATGAAGCAGCAGATGGAAAATCTATGGTCTTTCTCTCTCTGCCTTTCAAAATAAACAAACATTTGTTAAAACGCCACAAAAATATGAGGAATAACAAGCTGAGAATTGTATGTTCTATTATGGCTCTTCTGCACATCTTCTTAGCGCTCCTCCCTTTCCTTATCAATCTGTCCCCAAAGTCAGAAATAATTTCAGGCAAAATGTATTTTCTGGGAATAAAAAGTATTAGATCTTATGAATTACATGCTTCATAAGTATGTTTACATATGTTATAATATGTTTTATTTTCAGGAGATGAAGAAGAAAATTTTAAAATGCACATATTGGGCCCGGCGGCATGGCCTAGTGGCTAAGGTCCTCACCTTGAACATGCCAGGATCCCATATGGGTGCCAGTTCTAATCCTGGCGGCCCCACTTCCCATCCAGCTCTCTGTTTGTGGCCTGGGAGGGCAGTCGAGGACGGCCCAAGGCATTGGGACCCCGCAACTGCGTGAGAGACCTGGAGGAGGCTCCTGGCTCCTGACTTTGGATCAGCACAGTACCAGCCATTGCGGTACTGTGCTGATCACTTGGGGAGTGAATCATCGGATGGAAGATCTTCCTCTCTGTCTCTCCTCCTCTCTGTATATCTGACTTTGTAATAAAAATAAATAAATCTTTTAAAAAAATAAAATGCATATATCTATGTTGGTTTTGGCCAAAATACACTTAAGAAGGTACTTCGGCTTTGAAACAACAATAGGTTTTCAGTTTCTTAAACTCACGTATTTTTGGCTTGACCATCCTGGAAGCACATTTGTCCCACCAATGCAGCAGACTGGTCCCCTAAACACTGAAAGCACAAATGACAATGATGAATGCGGGCTAAGACAATATTACTAATTTCATTTTTAGAAGGACCATAAGTTTACTTTTCCATTGTTATTCATCAAGGCACAAATTGTCTGTTTCTTATATTTCCTCCATACAATCATCTTTTTCTATTTGTAAATAGTTCTATCAGACAGTATAAATTGGAAGGGAAAGTTAAAATTAACTTATTCAGAAGGTTCTCAATGACCTATACTGTTTCTCCTAAAAACAAAAATTAATCAGTTTTGCTACTGTTATTTGTATTCCCTGATTCAGAAAGGAGCATACCAACCAACTAAGATAAAGGAAGAAAATCCTCATCCAGAAGGGGATTCAGATGAAGAGGTGATGGAGAGGTATTTTATGATGAAGCTTACCCCAGATATTGGCACACCTTCCAAGGCCCCAGCTTTCTAATAAAATTTGGGGAAAAAATACAATTATGAACAATTATAAATTTTAAGTTCTATTGTTGTAACATAACAAAAATGAGCATAAGAACAGTAATGTGCCAGAGGATGTGAGCAGACAAGACAAAGCAAGTGTTTTAAGTACATGAGTGGTACAGAAACAGATACTAGAAGTGTTCTTAGAATGACAAGAAGAGACATGGCATTCATTAAAAAATGAACACGTAAAATAGATTGGGAATCAGGAGACATATATTTTGCTCCTGGTTAGTTAGTATTACGCCATGAGCAGACCACCAAACCTTTACATACTTCAATTTATTTATGTACAAAATTAAGACTGGGTTAAATGACTGTCAAGTCCATTAGTGTTTGGCTATTACTGTCATTATTAAATAATGGCTCACATATCCTATAAATAGCTATCAAACCAGGATGGTAACCAACAATGTAAAGATTGCCAAAATATAATAATAATTAAAAAAAGAAAAAAAGAATCAATGAATATGCAGCCAAAAGGAGCAGAAAAAAACATTACCTATGAGTGTCAAATAATAAAATATTATTCTAGACTTAAAAAAAAAACAGCATGGGACATATTTATTTTTGCAAGGCTGTATTTTATCAACTCTTCTTATCCACAGCAAACATCATCCTTCAAAATTAGATGTGTTAATTTATGTCATGATGAATGGTTTTTATTTCCATCAATTTGGCCAGCATTCTCGGAAGGAAAATGAGATATAACTGGCTGACTGTGGATTTTGTAAACTTAACTTAAAAATTCACTAATGTGAAGCAATTAGTGATTTTACAGAACAGGGGAAATTAAGGAATGAGGTAGTGGCACTATACTTGAAAGAATATGAAACTAACGCTTTATACTAGTGCCTTGGTCTGCATTTGTGAATCATGCATACTGAAGAGTTTCAGGTACCCTATCTGTTAAAGTGTGGGCAAGAAAACAACTGACCCCACAACAAGTGACCTCACATGGATATAAGGATAAGAAAATATGAGCAGATATGAGGACATTCTTTACAAAACATAAAAGAGCAGCTACTACTTTCGTTCATGTTTGGGATAATTCAAGGTCTATTTTTATCTACAGTATATATTCTTTGAAAATATGAACTTAGGCATCAAGTTTAAAAAGGGTACATTTCATAAAAGGTTTAGAGTGAATTAACAGGAAACCTAGAGTCAGTATATTTTTAATATATTGAAATATTCGAGGAAGTTGTCACTTTTACTTTGAAAATGATAAAGCTACCAGTAAGATCTACTATGTGTGCTCAGAATCTAAAGCACTGCTTTTCCTCACTGGAGCAGTCCTGGAGCATCCTCTGATGAAGCATGCAGAAAAAGCTTCAGTGCATTTCCGACTAACTGGTCTGAAAGGCTGGTCAAGATATCATTTAATATAGACATCCAAGACTTTTGAAAACTATGTCTAATTTCTCTGTTATGCTAAAACCCGAACCATCATAACTATACTTAGTAATGGGTAGCATCAGAAGTTCTCATTCCAGGAAGCATAGTGTTTTCTTTTATATTAGAACATCAGTGTCAGTCATAAAGAAACAAACAGGATTAGAGCTTTCTTTAAAAATGAAAACCCAAACAGTGTTTATAATAATTTGGAGGGTCAAAGAAATCCCAGAAATGTCTGCTTAGCAAATTGACTTTCACTTGTCTCAAAATAAATGGAAATGCACTGTGTCTTTTCCAAATGAATGGGTAACATAATTGGTGGGTAACCTACTCACCAGGCTATGAGAGATTTTCTACAGTCAGCAAGGAGGAAAAAGAGGGACAGAAGCATAATATTTTAAATGCAAGAGAACTCTAAGCCAGTTAATTTTTTCAACATTCCAGTGATAGTATCTCAAATATCTTTTCCCTGACTCAAATCAGTTTACTGAGAGCTACGAAATTACCCAAGTGCTTCTATTCTAAGTAGTGACTATACATCCCTTAAGAAACTCCACATTGCTATAAAGTTTTATTGTGAATGAAATGGTTAATTTTTTTTCATGCTTTATTCAGAGCATATATTCTTTGACCCTATTATTACTAACTCTGTAGGTGGAGTTTTTATTATATTTTATGTCTAAAAATAGTTTTGTAAATTTTTAATTTTTTCATAAACTGCATCATGAATTCCAGATTTTTGTGCTCAAACATCAGCTCACATCCTTGTTCATTCTCAATGAGGCTAAATAGACATTTTGCTAAAACTACTTTTTTTTTTAGTTTCAATGACAGCAGCCATAAAAAGGCAAATCAGTTTCATGAGAAATCCCCAATTAAGAAACTATTTTCTTTTAGTTTCTTTGCTAAATTTTGATCAGGCTGACAAATAATCTAATATATAACATAGTCTTGCCATTAAAGAGATTAAACCTAAGAAAGAACATCACTAACATGTTAGAGTCCCTAGTCTCAATTCTAAAGCAGACATCACAATTAATTAGCAATTACTACGACTGAAAGAATAATCTGGCTCACTCATTATTTAAAACTAAAAATATTCAAAGAATTAATGTATGCAACTGTAAATCAGTTGGTAAGAAGGACTATAAGGTTCTTAAGTTATAAAACTAAACCCTAAATATTATTTTATATTCTATCAATATTCACAAAGAATTAGCTAATCCCAAACTATGAAAAACAACAATTGTGCTTTGAGTTTGAAAAAATTTTAAATGAAAAATAAAACTTTTCTTTTCCTTTCTGCTTTCCTCTTTCATCTTTTTCTCTTTTTTACCATTAGGCCATAGATTTCAGAAGAACTCCGGACATTTGGAAGAATTTCCATCGGAATTTCAAAAAATCTGAAAAATATCATAATAGACTATTAATGAGTATGTAAGAATATTTGTATGTATTTTGACATTAAAATGTAAAAAAACAACTAGAGAATGGATATGTTAGAGTATAAACAGTAAAGACTTAAACCAGAAGAACATAGTTGTATGCTTGGATACTGAATATTCTAACTCCCAGAGCAACTGAATTAATGCAAATAAAAAAAGCACATTGAAATCACAGTACTTTACTAAGGGAAGCTCACCCATGAGAAACAATTAATTTGGCCTGCTTATTACATGCAATAACAAATTCCTTAATAAAGCCCCAAATAGGCTTGCAGATTATACTTAATAAGTCAACTACATTAACACCTAAAAATACTAAAATTTAGCTGAGAAACAAATAACATAATGGGGAAACTAATCTTAAGGGAAACTCCAACTCACTCGCATAGCTCTTTATCCCATTCCAAAGAATGAATATTGAAAAGCATCGTCCTACTTGCATTCGTTACATCTGTACAGTGGACACCTCCATTGACTCCTCCTGTCAAACTCTAGATACAATTAAAAGGAAAAGTTAGATTTGTACTTATCTGCAACTCAATTTATGTATTAAGGGTCATAACTAGCAGCACATAGAACTTTAGAACAGTTCAAATATTTAGTTATCAAGTTTGAGCACTGTCCAACTAAAATAAAATTTGAACCACACTTGTAATTTTAAAATTTCTAGTAGCTACACTAAGAGATTAAATATGTGAAGTTAACTTTAATAACATAGTACATTTAATCCAGTATATTTAAAATACTATTTTAATGTGTACGTAACAGCAAAATATTAGAGGGATTTCATTTTCTTTGTTTAGTATTAAGTCTTTGAAATCTTGTTTGTATTTTATACTCATAGTACATCTCAGTTCAGACTCAAATACTCAATAGCCACATGTGAGTAGTAGTTACCACATCAGCACAATTATAGTTAATCAGTGGTTAGACCAAAGATCACTTTTGTTTTCCTCCTCTGATCTTTGAAAAATTCAGTCTTCTTAAACTTGGCAAGGTGAAATAAATTGAGATATTTCTTGAGACTTTTAGAGAACCTTGTATTATCCCTTTGTCTCATATTTATCTTATTAAAACATTATCTCATCTATTTGAAAGCAGATGACACAGAGAAAGGAAAAGACAGGGAGACAAAGAGATGCAGTCTCCTAAAGTAACAGCAGGGGCCCAACCACTTGTGTCACTTCCTCCGCCCACACATGTAGAGTAGCAGGAATCTGGACTGGAAACAAAATATTCCACCAAAAAATATCAGATTAGTAGCAGTAGTATCCTAATTTACATGCTACAACACTAGCCCCATTTTGTTTTATTTTTACTTTTTGATTAACAATTTTCATTGAGCTTTGTTTATACTCACCCAAGCATATATCCTGAAAGTAGAGTTTTAAACTCTCTGATGTTAACACTCACAGACCTGAACTGGAGACACTAAGAAGTTAACAAAGGAACCAAGGTAGATAGAAGTGAGTGCAATGATGTAGAACTAAAATGTACTTCCTCCAGTTCCCTGTAACTCACACTTCCCACATCCTGCCTTACTTTGTCTTGAGACAATTGTCAGAATGAATCAATCAACCGTGACAGAGGGAATCACTCATCTGTGAGAGATGTGAAATTGGCTGGCCAGGAACACAGGGTACAACCTTCCCTGACCAAACTCAAGAGGGAGGGTAAAGAAGGTGCCTCTTTCTGGGAACGGTTGCAAGGGACTTGATTTGTGGATCACGCAAGGGAGAACAGGGTAAATATTTCCGTCAAGTTCCTTGGAATGCTGAAAACGTCCTCAAGTTAAGTATACACAAGTGAAAGTTTATGTCTGAGATTTGCATTAAAATGATCTGTTGGGACAAAGAATACTGAGATTAGATGAACCAAAGCTGGTCCACAGGTTGGCGATCAGTGTATGTGATTCACTGGGACAGAGGTTCAAGAGAGTCACTGCACTATTCCCTCAACTTTGGGGAATATTGATGTAAAGACTCAGAACTCCAGGAAAAGACAGAGAGAGAACCACTGGAGGACATGCCATTTTAAGAAGCATCTTAGAAAAATTTGTAAAAGCTTCTACTCTTCCTTGTTCAACTTAGGCAAAACAATTACCTAACAAATTACATTATGATTTAGTTTCACATCATGACTGTTACACAAGAAACAGATGTGTGATACTGAAAGCAAACGATAAAGGTGTCCTAGGTGTTTTATCAAGTTAAATGCTTTATCATTTCTAAAATGTGGTCAGTAGAAATGAAGCATATAATAAGAAAGAAGCAAAAGCTACTTATATACTTATCTTAAAGATAACACATTTGAGGGACCAGCATGGTAGCCTAAAAGCTAAAATCTTCGCCTTGAATGTGCCAGAATCCCATATGGGCACCAGTTCTAATCCCAGCAGCACCGCTTCCCTTCCAGCTCCCTGCTTGTGGCATGGGAAAGCAGTCAAAGATGGCCCAAAGACTTGGGACTCTGCACCTGCGTGGGAGACCCAGAAGAGGATCCAGGCTCTTGGCTTCGGATTGGCTCAGCTCCAGCCATTGTGGCCAATTGGGAGTGAATCAACAGATAGAAGATCTTCCTCACTGTCTCTCCTCCTCTCTGTATATCTGACTTTACAATAAAAACTAAATCTTTTTTTTAAAAGATAACACATATGAGATGTGGTTTTGTCAAGTATCTTCCATTTTCACTGTACTAAAGAAAGAAAAAAATATGGAGGAAGTAGGGAAAAGTGCCTCTCAATTGGAGGCTGAAATGGTTTTCCTTCTTCTTGGGCAGTTTTTCTTAATGATTTTAACTAAAAATGTTGAGCTATTAGTAGAAAATAGTAGGTCAGGTAGTCTACAATAATTTTCTGAGAGAATTCTCCATATAGGAATGGTACTTATACATACCCAAATAAGCCATGAATCAATGGTCCCAAAAAGTGCTCTATTTTCTTCAACAGCTTTTTGAACTTTTTTCACATTGTCAAGGAGCCAACGAAGTTTCACTGCACTGAAGTAAGTACTAAGTGGGAGGCCTGTTTTGGACTAAAACAGTTATGAAGTTAGGCCAGCAAATTATATTTATTACATTTTAAAACAAAACCACAAATTTCAGGAGTTCAAAAAAGCAAAACTCTCAATGGCCCAAAGGTAATCCCATAGTACTAGAAATGAAAATATTGTTTCTATCTCATGACACAAGAATATTCATGGACAAAGATCACAGCACTATGAGATCAAAGCCAAAGAGCATCCACGTGACAAGATAATGAAAAAAATTAAATGATACATCATCCTGCAATTATTCAGTGATAATGTAGCTGTTACCTTTTGTAATAATGTAGTATTATGTGTAGAAACTAAATCAAAACTCTGCTTATTTTATATTTCATGAAAGTGAAAATCAGAATACCAATTCATAAAACTAGTGACCATCTCGGATAATTTTATGTCTTCAAAACACAAAAGATCTAATAACAATAATATATTGTTGTGTATATACATGTGTTCAAACAACGTAAATAATATAAAATTATTGCAAACTAAAGCAGAGTCAAAGAAATGCTAAATTAAAGCACTTAAGAGCTATTCTATTTAGGTGCCTAAATTCAAATACATTGAACAGAGGCAATGTGCACTGAATAAAAGTTTACAGAATGAACATAAAACATATATGAGCTTATCAGTCTTTCTTAAGAATGGGTCAGGTCCAACTCTTATTTATGGTAGTATGTTAAATGCCATGTTTCTTATAAAGCCTAATTAAAGCAGTTAATACATACAAGAAAATGATACAACAATCTTTCCCCTCCTCAAACTCTATTTTCATTTATCACCTAACTATAAAACCCTTTTGTTTTGCAAGAAAACTCAAAATATTTAATACTTTACTGTAATTTCTAAGTTAAGACTCATAAGGTTTTCTAACTTTCCTATCCTGGGAAAAAAAGACCAATACTCAAAAAATTATTGAAATATCTTAATTGATTTTAAGATCCCAAAAGCCAATAGTGGGCTGAATATATTTTATTTCCATGATGTGTAGATAGAAAGTGTAACAATTCTCTGAAATGGCATCAAGACAAAAACCATGTATCCCCTGAAGCACAGTACAACCAGAGTTGGGAGTGTTAGGCAGTGTGTCAAACAGAACAGAATAGAGAACATGCAAGGGTTTATTCAGGATACAACTGAATGGTTTTCCAGCTTCATAAGACTTGAACACACACACACACACACACACACACACACACACACACACGCCATAAACATCCCATAAAAGGAAATAAACAAACAAAGCAGAGAGAACTTCCTTTTGGCTATGACCTTTCTGAGAGTGTGCCCTGCCTTCCCATTCATTTATCTGCAGACATTTATAAAATGCCTGAAAATGAGGGAATTTTTACTAGCCTTCTTCATATCAAGGAAGTGGAAGAGAGTTCAGTTAAGGGTTTGAGTGTCTCCTATTTTCTCCCCTTGAATCCAGCTCCGTAAAAACTAACAACTTTATTCAGAATTTGCTTCAATGATCATTAGAAAACAATAGAGATGGGTTTAGAAAGCACCCCTTGGAGAGAACAGCTTAAACCATTGCACACATTTTAATCCCCTCCAGTCTTCTTTCAATTCACCACAAGGCAAGGACAATGTCTGGGGAACAGTCTGTAAACTGAATCATACAACTGCTGTGCCATAAGCTGTAAGGCCCTGATAATCATTCTGGTGAAATCTGGAAGTTTTTTTTTTTTTTTATATAAACATTCTTACAAAAACATTTTAGGAGATCTCTTTCTTACCTTGACAAAGTTATTATTTCCTGGAATTCTTTTACTAAGATTCTCAACAGTAGACTGGGTTCTTAGATCAAGCCACACTATAAACCGAAATATAATAAAATTTTCATTAAAAATAAGAACTTAATAAAAACCACTGTTAAGGACAGGATACTTATTAGTTTCCATAAGCAATTAAAATGCTAGAGCTTTCAAAAGACAGAAATTAGAAAATTAGAAATGAATGGGCATATTGTTAGAAGAGAATGAAGTTATAAGGGAGAATTTATAAAGTTTTATGCAAAATTACAGACCAAGTTAGGAAGAACAATACAAACCTCAGGGTACTTATTTTGTACTCTTTTTATTTAAAAAAATCCACAAAAAAATATTTGGAATACAGATTTTCTAAGCATATTTTCAGATATCTGAAAACTAGGCCAAGCAATTGGCAGTGCAAAACGCACAGCCTAACACCACTACACCATGCAGAGTGTGGATCTTAGAAAACTTGGGAGCAATTTGTGACAAAGACAAAGTAGAGAACCTGATCCTATTATTGCAGGAACCAAAGATACAGTCTTTCATTTATAAAATGCTTATATACCTGAAAATCTTTTAAAGTATGCTAGACTCAGACTCCTTTAAAGTTGCAGTTTCTCTATGCTGCAGTGTAAAGAAGGGGGGGAAATCCCCATTTTAGTAATTCAACATTTTCTTTTACTACAGAGCCACTGTCAGCTTCCTAAAAACTTCCTAGAAAATATTTGTTGTGCTTAGTAACAGAAGGCTTGAGGAAGCAAAAGCATGAAATTCTACATAAAGCAATTGTGAAAAGTAACTAATACAATCAGATTTCTTTCTCACATTTAAGTTTATTAATTCACTTGTGTAGCCTTTGATATTTTCAGCATTGACTGCACAGATACCTCTTGAAAACTCTTAGATCCACAGTGTGGTAAAAGATTCAGGAAAACTTACATAAGCTTGCCACTGCACATCTGAATGCTAACACCTATTGTCTAGTTGGGCCCACTCTTCACTATATTACTGTTTTTGTTCATTTAAAAACCAGTCCTTTCAGTCCAGGTGTGATGGCTCAATTGATTTTGCAAGTGCCAGGATTCCATATGGGCACTGGTTTGTGTCCTGGCTGTTGAGGATAACCCAAGGTCTCGGAACCCCGCACCTGCGTGGGAGATCCAGAAGCAGCTCCTGCTTCTTGGCTTCGGATCAGCCCAGCTCTAACTGTTGTGGCCATTTGGGGAGAGAATGAGCAGATGGAAAGTCTTTGTCTCTCCTTCTCTCCATAAATCTTATCTGCCTTTCCATAAAAATAAGCAAAATCTTTAAAACAAAATAAAACACCCCTTTCTGGGAGTGAATTCTAATCAATTCTTTCTCATTGCTTAAAGCTGTCATTTCCTATTAGGGACCTGTTTGTGACAGTGGATACTTCCTTGGAGACTTTTTCAATTGAGGACTTCAGGAAACAATAATTTTTGTAGGTATAGAAAAGCAGCAAGGAAAGACTCATTGCAGCCAGGACGGGGAGACTGGCTGAGGAGACAATACATGGTACTGCAGCTAAGCCGAGATGCCAAGCCTGCAAGAGGCCTGTTCAAAGCTGAGCTTGGCAGTACATAGTATGCAGCTGCTGCCCTTAAAACAAGAGAGCAAAATCTACCACATTAGGAGCCATTATAGGGAGGAAAATAACAGACGTGAAGGGATCCAGTTGATATTGTCTAAATCTGAAATTAGCTAGTTTCGATTACTGGTTCCATGAACAAAGCAATTCCTTTCTTTAAAAACTCAATTTATTTGGAGTTTTCTATTACTGTGTTTGGTACAAGCCAACAGTGATATCATCATGGAGGTGGAGATCTGCCATGTTCAGGGAACAAGGACGATCCACATTCTACACAGTGACAGTACTGTCTGACTATGACATAAATGTGCCTTCTTCACAGGCAAGCAACCCTAGCAAGTAGTATTGGTATAACATGAGTAATTGTAAAAAAAAAAAAAGGAGAAAAGTTAACAAAAACAATTTTAAATCTATGACAGAATTTATAAGTACATCTCAATCCTGTGTATCAAATCACAATGAGCTGAGATTAGAAATCAATTTACTGAGTTTTGATTACCTGCTTTAAAAAATGAAAGAGGATAGATCCAGTCATTGCACTTGGTAAGGTGAGTATTTATTTGTCAAACTTGTTCAGATTATGTGGGGTTTCTGAATCGCATTATAAAACTTATTTCTTAAAACTTATTTTCTTATCAGAAGGTGTAAACAAGCAACATTTAAAAGTTACCACTCTAGGCTTTTTGTTTAATGACTTAGATTCTTTCAGATCAGCTTTGTTCATATTTAAGGTTCATAGCATTCACTAGGGAACTTAAAGTTGAGTCACAACTCTCCACCCCCTTAGATTTGGAAATGTGGCACCAGATGGCCTTTTAAACAGTTATTCCACTTTCAGAAGCACTAAGAGACTCCATAGCCATGGTTCTTACCTAGAAAACATACCAAGAACACCTGTTAAACTTTGATATCACACATCCTGGCCCCACCTTGTACGTCCATGCAAGGTTTGAACCTCAAGTTATTCAATATAGTACTAAAACTTGAGAACCTCTTTTCTGTGGCATGTCCTCTAGGATACTAGAAATATCCTCATTATTTAAAAACAAAACTAAGACAATGATGATCAGGTAGCCTCCTATATCCCAGGAGTCCTGTGACTATATTCGTCCTTGTTAAAGACCACTTAGAAAACTAAGTTATTTATTCCCCACTGCAGCGATGACTGACAACAGCATTCAGAGTTAAAATATCCCCACCAAGGACAAAAACTCTGGATATGTAATCAGGACACCAAAGTTCCATATTTGGCTTTGTCACCAACCAGCTGTATGACTTATGCAAGTCATTTCACCATTCATGGTCTGGATTTCCTAAAAATAAAGTAAGGAGGCTGGATTAGATGGCCTGTAAAATTTCTCTCCTTCCATTGTCCCATGATCACAGAAGCCTGTTAAGATACATATATATGGAATGAATTAGTAAAAATGCCAAAGAGAAAAATGTCAGTGGTTGGTACATTACCAAGCAATTCACAAATGCTCAAAATTAATTGTATTAAGAGCAAAAAAATTAGAAAAGTCATTAAACAAGCTAAGATGACTGAATTAGAATTGCAGAATGAAAGACCAAAGCCAAAGAGAAGACTGCAAGCTGAAGGACTAAGCCCCTGTGTGTGTAATTTCTGAGATCAAAAGAAGTGACAGATCCAGATCCAGAAGCAGAGGTCAATTGCCCCCAACATGTCTGAGTTGGAAGGTTGGGCAGTGAGTAGTTAGCCAGAGCACCAATACCTGACGAAGTAGCAGCAGCTGGAACTGAAGAGCCAGAGGGAGCAACGGCAACTGGAACTGAAGGGCCAGGAGAAACTGGAGCAGCTGGAGCATCAGGAGAAATAAGGGCAATTCATGCTAGAGATGGCCCAGTTCAAGGTCTGCATATTCTTGTTTACCACAAAGGAAATGGCAGATCACTTGGGCAAGTTCACCAGAAAGAGCATTTTTTCCACACATTTGAGTGTAGAAAAGAAAAGGAAGAGACATGGAGTAGAAAGGAAACAAAGGAAATCCAGTTCAATCTCCATTTCAATACTATTTCCATTTGGATGGATGAAGACCAGGTAAATACCTGCTTTCTGGTTCCGGAGGACTCTTCCCTACCTGGCAACATTTAGGCATCCTAATTAGAAAAGTGGCTCAGTTAACTAAAGGCAGCTCAGTAATGCACTGAAGGGAGATGCTGCATGGATGTAGGGAGGGAGTGTATCCCTGGGAGGATGTTAGAAAGGAATAAGCTGCAGCCATCTATAGTAAGACATCAAAGGACTGCTTTGGGAAGAAAAGGCCCCAAGATTAGGAATAGATGTTAGGGTGTTCAGAACACTATAAGCCTGCTCTACAGGTAAAATAAACTGAAACTAAGCAATTCAGATCATCAAATGAATTGGCTGAAAAAAAAAAACCTGACTTGAATGATGTGAATCTCATTTATATTAAATAAGGCCACATCCAAAATATATCTGGTCAACTTTGTTCTGAAAAGTTTCAAGAATGAAAAGAAAATGAATTCGCCTCAACCACCACAGACCAGGATTTGTTTAGTGATGTAGTAACAGTACAAAGGAAAACACTTATAGTGAGAATATTTAGAATAATAAAACCTCACAAATATGCATTATTTTTATATAACCATAAAGATATAAGGAAAAAGCATCTAAGAAACAAACAAACAAAAAACCCAAAAACCCAACTACAAGAAAATGCCACTAGGGATAATCTAAATTATCTTCAGTTGACTAGAAACAAACACAAATAATGAACCTCCTATGAGATAGTTTATTAGAAGGAGCTTGTAGTCTGATCTGATAAAGTGAGGCTCCCGGCTATGAGACACATCCCAAGCAAGAACTTCTAATAGTCACACAACGTGTTACGGGGCTGTTTCCCACCCTCAAGAGACACTATAATGGTAAAACAGGTATTCATTGTGTTTTACTAGTTTGTCAAAAGTTAAAGTATTAATTAAGCTGAGAAACAGGTTATCTGCAAAAGGAAAAAAAAGACACTGACTAACCCACACCTGATGACATTTCCAGAAAAAGGTGTGGTCAATTGAAAAAAATTGAGAGTGGGAAAGAGAGAAATTAATAAACCATTGTTACTCTGGGTGTGTGTATGTGTGTGCATGCTTGTGCATGTATAAATACCCACACATTTAAGATGAGAACTAAAACTTATTTTACTTCATAGGTACACAAATGTTAACATGCCAATAACTAAACTAAGGCTGGATGGCCCCAGGCAGACTCTGCATGTTCCCTAGGAACACCTGTCATGAATACATCGACCACTGCATCTGCCACTCCTAGATTTAAAATACTACCATCAATTTAGAAGAGTGACCATGGCTGACACTGAAACCTCACAGGCTGCCAGGTACTCTTTCAAGGATCCCACATCTCTTAACTCCTGTATCTTCACCTCAAACCTAGAAGGGCCATACATTCAAACTCCTGGGTCTCTCAAGCAAGAGGTACAGAATGCCAGAAAGTGGAAAAGCCAGTATTTGAACCCAGAGTCCAAATCCAGAGTTAAAGACAATGCAGATATAACTATGATGAATTCATAGTCTTAAATGGGACAAAATATTAAATATTAAATATTCAAAGTTAAAGTATTTCTACTTAAACTAACTTGAGTTAAATATCCCAATCACTGCAAAATATAGCAGTGTTTCTTTACCCAGGATTGAAGGTGCTATAAAGCTTTCAAAGAACCATGCAATAAAAGTCTTGAGATAATGGGAAATAACCAGGTATTGATAAAACTGAGAATTGGAAATTTTGTAAAAGTCAAATCAAAACAAAACAAAAAACCTGCCTTCTAAATAAACAATAAAAATCATGTTCATTATTCAAATCTGGTGTACTTAAGAATTTTAGATGGCTTGCCATCTTTGGTTTGCAATCCATGGTTTTTCTAACAAGTAGATTTTTAGTTATAAAATGTTCAAGTTCAAAATTCCTCCAACAGATCTCAAAAGGTGATTACACATGTTTAGTCACTGGTGTAGAATTCACCAGTATGTTCTAAAACAGAGGCAAAAAAAGATCAAAGCTGGGGTCAGCACTGTGGCATAGTCCATTAAGTCTCCATTTGCAGTGCTGACACCCCATATGTACACTGGTTCGAGTCCTAGCTGCTCCACTTCCAATCCAGCTCCATGCTAATGTGCCTGGGAAACGAGTGAAGGATGAGCAAAATCTTTGGGATCCTGCACCCATGCCAGAGACCTGGAAGAATCTCCTGGCTCCTGACTCACCTGGCTCTGGTCATTGCAGGTATTAAGGGAGTGAACCAGCAGACAGAAGATCTCTCTCCCTCTTTCTTTTTCTCTCCTTCTTTGTGTAAATCTGCCTTTCAAATAAAAAGTATTTTTTCATCAACATTTAAACCTGTTAATACTCTACAGTGAGAGCTGTGTGTCACAGGAAGCTGTAAAGGCAGTATCTTAGAAAAACTGTTTTTTATAGCATTTCAACAAGAAAGTTTCAGAGATAAAGAAATGAATTTTGTAGGTACCTTTCTTTAGTACTCTAAAGGTATTCTACCAATAACTCTAGCCTCATTAGATATTGGTCTATATTACAAATGGTATTTTTATATCAAATAATAAACTGTGTTCTACAGAAAAGCTCCCAAAGTGAGGGTCATAGTTCACTATGCTTGCCATGCATTGCAGGTTGGGTAAATAAGCCAGTCTGGTCTAGAAAGGAGAAAGCAGCTGGCTTTTCCTGGAGAAGCTACATTATTTTTGCAGCTAGCCTCACTGAAACATGTGTGCAAACACATTAAATATAACTGACATCTAATCCTTTAATCCACGTGGGCAGTTTGGTGCTTATCAGTAAGGGCTATGAACTCAAGCTTTACTTCAATAATATTTAAGCAGAAATTTATGTACACTACCAATAAAAGTTGGTTTTGGAAGGAAAATGTTTAGCAAAACGGGTGAGTGGAAGGATCCCTTTGGAAAAGGACACGGACAAAGATCATGCTAGAAATGAGAGAAAAAAGTCCCAGGGGAACAAGGAAAACTGAGGAGAGGCAAGAGAAGCCAAAGGATACTTCAGACTGGGGCTGCAAAGCTCTCACAAACCCTCCCATAAGGTCATCGCAGTGAATGGTTGTGTCATGGCACAGTGGATGGGAAGCAGTGATGCCAGAGTCACTTCGCCATTTCAGATACCACAATATTTACCTTGCTAATTACAGAATCAACATACCCGTAAATTCTAAAATATATACGAAACTCCTAAAACAGGTCACCAATGATTCAATAGACCCACACCAACCTCTCTATATTTATAGTTGTCTGTTAGAAAAGATGTCAAGAAACACACCTTCATCACAAGTAAGAATAGCCTTTTTCAGCATTTCACTCCTTCAATTAGCCTATTCCATGACCATCAATGGTAGCCTATGACTCTGCTACCTGGGCTTCTGTTATTATACTGGAGATGATAAATTTATTGCATGTAAGTGCTTGAGTCATAAAAAACTCACAGAATGCTACTCTCATTCATTTGTTCTTAATAAATACTGCTCATCAGTTTCTTAATGTAATAAGACAGATAAATGAAGAGGAAAAGGACAGGCTTAGAGTGACAGAGTTGCAAGAAAAAGAGACAAGGAGGGAAAAAATAAATAAATACAAAGAGAGTGTACAGACTAAATGTTCCTGTCTTCCCAAACTTTGTATGGTGAAATCCTAACCTCTGTAGTGATAGTATTGGGAGGTGAGGTTTTTGAGGTCTGATCCCTCAGGTATAGGACTCTCATCTTTATAAAAAGACAGGAGAATGTTTTCTATCTTTCTGTTCTTTCCATATGAGGATATGACAGGAAGCTGTTCATCTGCAAACCAGAAAGCGGGCCCTCCTCTGACACTGCATCTGCAGGCTCCTTGATTTCAAACTCAGGCCTCCAAAACTGTGAGAAAGGCAGCTGAATAAAATATCCGATCTACAAACTTTTTGGCACCATAAATAGAGAAAATTCAGACTGAGAAATAGACAAAACCAAAAATGCTCAAAATAAGATTCTCATGTGTATATATATATATTTTTCAAGTATATATATGCTTTAGGATAAAACTGCTGAAAACTTTATATTATGCTGATATTTTCTATTGAGACCTCTATGGAGACATGACACCTCAGTGTTTTCCTGAATGAAATAAAATTGGAAGCAGAATCAATCTTTGTCAGTACTTAATGGCTTCTCTTCTGAGCTCATCACTGCTCGCTCCCACTTTTCTATTTCCCTTTCTGCTTCCAGCTTTCAAATTTCTATCTTAGCTTCTGCAACACTAATGCAAGCAGCAGGTCTGCTTTGTTGTCATCTGCCCAGGGGTCATCCTATAACTTGAAATAAAGAAAAGCATCTAAACTTTAACTGAATGAATTGTACGTTCATTTCTATGATGAAATTTCTCTCTCTATATATATATATGTATGTATATGTATGAATACACACACGCACATATATACACATATACAATATGTGTTATCAGGGTTCCATTCTACATTTTGAACACTTAAATTTATAACTTCCCAGAATTTAATGTCAATCACAGGTTCAAAACTCAACTGATCCAAAACAGAAAATCATTGTTTCCTCCCTGGCCCACAAACCTTAAATATTTCTCTGTTAGCTCAAATTGACAATCTTGCAGTCCTTATTTATTTTTCCTAATGTTTATACTCTATGCAACACACATACATACAGGCTATTCTGCTTTCCTCTGAAAGGTCTTTCCAATTTGGACTTTTTAACTTCTCTTTGCACTAATCTGAGCAATTCACTAGCAGTTCCAA